ATGGTCAATATATATCCTCACAGTCATTGGATAATTAATCTTAGAATACTTACAAGATTTCGTAAATGTTTTCATATGTCAACCCTCCCTTATCCGCCTTTTTAAGCATCTCTATTTGATATTGCCAAAACCTCTGTGTCACATTGATGGAACCAACCTTCCACTAGAAAACAAAAACAAAACGTGAGATATTCGTAATAAGGAAATCTAAATTTTGACATGTGGTATACCTCAACTGTCGGTTCTTTTTGTAGTTCCTTCGTGATGTTTGCTAAATCAAATTTTATTTCCTCGTCATCAAGCTTTTCATTGTAATCATTGTTATCATTATTGGAAGTTTCGGGTTCATTATGAATCTCGTTCATTAAATTCTTGTCATTCATAACCACGCCAATGTTATCTGTTGTCTGGTAGAATGACGAAGACATTGCAATTTGCCCAGCATCGATATCTGTATCTTCTTTCGCATCACTCTTCACGTTTTTATTTATATCTTGTGATTCGTGGACACAACTTGCGGAGGGACTTTTGGTGGTTTCAATCTGTGGTATGAATATATTTTTGTGAATCATGCCAAATAGCAATTTCGGTCTTTATTGATATGAATAGTCAGAACTAAATGTGAAGACCATACCTCGTCATCCTTCTCGTTGGAAATATCTTGTTCATCGGATTTTCGTAGCTTCTTAAACAGATTGGATGATTCTCGTTCGGATGGACTCTGAAAGAAGTAGTTGATCTCGTCCTACAGAAATGCGTGAGATAACATTAAAATAAATTGACTCTGCTGATTCTCACGACTTCTATATAATAAAAGGTATCTGTACCTTTTCCCGATCTCTTTTTGATCCAACAACTAACGATCCAGTTATCGTCCCCATATTTCCTGCTTGCGCAAACGTTCCTTTTCCCATTTTCTCGCTTTTTTTCGATCTGTTTGAGGATCCTAGCACGAAGATTTGAAAATTAATCGCTGTTCCATCTATTCCGATTTTCCACCAGAATATCAGACAACCGAGTGGGTCACCTGTACCCTAGTGGTCCAATGCCAGCTCGGCGAATGGCCTTTTAACATCAGACAACCGAGTGGGTCACCTGTGCTCCAGCATTGGTTTTGTGGCTCGGCGAATGGCCTTGAATGACAGAGAACCGAGTGAGTATCCCCCTGTCACGCCACTTTTTTCACCTATACTTTTGACACAGATTACTTGCCTCTCTGTATGCTCTAAGAAGTATCTCCGCCCTTTCCTTCCTCTTGTCTTTCTCGTTGTCAGTAATTGTGTTAAGGCATCTTAGGTACTGATCTATCTTACGCTCGAAAGGCTCTATCTTACATTCGTTAAGAAAACCTGTAATACACCATTCAAAAGAATTGCATTTAAAGTATTCGTGTAATTTGTCGGCCATACTTTACGGAAAAAAGATTTCACTTCGAATTTTTTATATTTGTTTATTTATTTATTAAATAAATATTATATGAGTTACACAAAAATTTTCGCCACTGATCTTATATCATGATATGAAATTTAAGCATATGGGAATCGTTTTCACAATAATTATATGAGAAATGGCCGGCCGGCTAAGAGAAAATGAAAGTAAAAAATAATAGAGTAACGGTTGTTTCAAGGGAGAAAAAGCAATGAAAAGACCATTGCCTGCTTATTTAGCCTGTCGGGCCCTAGCCCATAGAAGACAGTTCCTTCCCGTTACTCACTATTATTTGTTTTACTATCAATCCATGTACCTATTTTGTTTAAGTCGCTACTTTTTAAGTCATTAATTCTACGATAATAATTTTTGATTATATTCCTACTAAGTTTTCCCACACGCAGATTAAGAATATCAACAGCTACAATACCACACATATCATCTAAAGAACACGCTTTTTCTGCCATAATTCTATCAAAAATAGCTTTAAACTGATTCCAGATTGTTGAAGTAATATCCGAAAATGATCGCTGGCTGGAACCAGAAGAAGCTTCGGAAGAATTTTCGTCAGTTTGTTGGTCAGATGAGACATTGTCTTGAAGTTCTGCTTCCTCAATAGGTTCGATTCTTATTTCGGGAGAATTGATATTTTGTGTCTGGACAACCGCATAATGTCGATTAATTTCGTTTCGGATCATTGTGATAGATTCATTAATTAATCCAAATTCTAATGCAATCCTTTCAAAATTGTTACGGTAGGTTCGAAGGACTTCTTCGATTTCATCAAGTCTAGCATCACGATCAGCAAGTTCGCTGGTAAATCGGACATCACGAGCGGTGAGAATTTCGTTAAAGATCGTTTCATATGCGGGGAGATCAGCATTATACTCGATATCTCGGGTATTAGTGGTGCGTAAAAAATATAACGTGGCACCGGCGATCATGTAAATAGAGATTTTCTCGACGAACATCAATAGGCCGGTGAAATCCAAAAATGGGGCGATTCCCGGAACAATAAGCGACATCCATAACCGGAAAAACGTTCGTTAGCATATATACACGAGTGTGGGGTTAACCTAGCATATAATTAGTGGGGTTATCCCCAATTGGATGAAACCTTAAAAGGTTTCTGAATATATACCTTAATTCGCGCGAAACAAGTAATATAAGTGGGTTTTATTTTCGTGTTTTATTTTGTATATCTCTATTAGTGATTAAGATCATTAAATGTTTTGTTTCTTAAGTCGCTGATATCCTTTTCCTGTTGTGAAACAACGAGCTCCGCTCTCTCTGGTTCGGAAAAAGATAAATGATATATAGATTTAGGAAGATAGTCTCATGAAATGAGGATGTTATCGTATCTAATTTATCTATTATCTGGCTTCGAGTAAAAATTACGAGAAGGTGGGACAGATCAATATTTTTTTTCGCCCTTTTATATAGTAGAGTCATTACCTACACCCCCCCCCGCTTTAATTAAATCCCAAGGTATACGAAATCCACAGATCAAAATTTCTAATATCTGCTGGAACCTGCCAGAAAAAAAATGAGAAAATGTTAATATACGTAATTCCTACCAGGCGTGCTAGCCCACCAATATCTCGATCTTCCTACTAAACCTAATTAATTTTCATTTTGTAATAACATACTCTGATTCTCATAAATCATATAAATTAGGCGCAAAGCGCTCTGCAAGCAGATATTCAAACTACGTAATTTTTCACTAGATATAGATATGGTTATTTTTGTATTAATAGGTTCGGGAGCTAAGTATAGTTTCTCTCGTAACTTATATTTTTAGCTTATCGTTAATATATGCACGTGATATTAACCACCCAATATATAGTGACAAAAAGTACTTATCTTTATTGGTACAAATAAAAATAGCCTGATATAATCAGAATACATATGAGGCGGGAAAACTATCTACCACTATTTTTGGTAATTTTTTTGATCCTAACTCTCTTACTGGCTGGCGAGTTGTCTAATCTAACCCGACGATTCTATGAGATTACTCGATGACCCCTCGATTGTTCTCCACCTTGTAAAACTTCCACTGGCTTTTGTGCCTCTTCCAGTAACCAGGCAATATGACCTAGAACCCTTTTAACCATACCCTCCATATCATCACTGTCATACACAACGACTACCGGTTTTGATAGTTTGAATTTCGGCTTTTCATCCTCATCAAGCGTACATTCCATAAAATACCATTCTTTTGCATCGGTAACGATTCCAAACACCTTATCCACACCCTGTTCGCTGTCTATTTCATCGGCTTTGCGTTTACGTCCTGTTAAGGATGACTCCATTTGTACGGATGCCTGGGCAAATCCCTTCATAAAATCCTCCCTCTTGACTTCGACTAACCCAACGATCCTATTGGTTAAACAACACTCAATCGCATAATCGAGGTTTCCCTGCCCATTTCGACCCTCAACAAGTTTTTCCGGTATAATATTGAAATTATTCTTATAGAATGAGACTCCGGCGATCAGGTAACAATATGAATAAATAGATTTCGTCGCCTCGTACGCCATGTCAAGGGGAGTAATGTCTTGGAGAAGTTTCAAACCGGTCATTAGATGCCTAACCACGACTTGAGACTTTTCGTCCTTTAGATCTACACAACCGCATGAAAAAACAGGAATCACCTTAATGCTCGGGTTCGGATCATTACTAAGTCCGTAGAGTTGACACACTTTCGGAAATGTCCATTCGCTGAATGGCTTCGAGGGAGTTTCAATAAACACAGTGAACTTAAGGTTACTTTTTGATACTAGCGACCGCAACATCTCACGGAAAGAGTCATCGTTCCTGGGTAAATATCTCCCTCCATCATTCACGAAGTTAAATACCACAGTCGGATTTTCAAGTGCTGGCGTTTGATATGTTGCAAATATATCTTTCCTAAGATTGCATGGTCGATATTTACGGTCCACTTGAATCCCTTCGTTCGTTTCGGACTAACGATAACGTCGAACTCTGTAACATAACAGCTGGGTTAGTAAATTTTTTTTTCAGAATATAGTCTGATCGTTTCCTAAGGAAACGGTTTTTGCAAAGATATTTTATACATATACACACCATAGACAGACTTGTTGAGTAATGCCTGCAAAGAAGCAAGTTGTTCCCTTAATTCCAATACCTCACTCGAAGCGGTGGTTGATACGGGTGGTTCGACTATGACATGGATATGTTCCTCGGGAGGTGAGTCTGGAAAATATTTTGAGATCTTTTTTGTCGCAAGGAGTTCGGTTTGATCTTGAAGTGAGAGATTGCTCAACTGATCGTCGTGATCATCAGGAATTTCCACTTTCCACAACCTAAGTTTATCTGCATCCACATCGGCGAAGTCATTTTGTTTTTCCGCCTTGATAACTTTTTTGAGGTGGCTAACTAATTTGTTACCATCAATATCAACAGCAAACGCTTGTACGGCTGTATTTCCTTTAACGAGGCAAAGCAAAGTGATAGACATGTTTTCGATTTATATAGTATTTTTTGTGAAATGTTATTGGCTATTGTTAGGATAAGAGGTGCAAAAAAAATTTTTATCGATTGATTATATGTGCAATGTAGGTCACACAGATTACATAATTAGCCTTTCAGCTAAAACACGTGACATTAATTGCTCATTTCTTTTCTTATCATTATATGTTCCTACGATAAAGTACACAGTCGTTGAAATCACGCCTAACGCGTCATCATTTTATTATAACAAAATGCCCGTCTTACAAAAAATAAATCTGCAAAACATTAGACACAGAGTGTCCTACTTCGTAGACAAGAAAAAATTGCGAATATATCGCTTTTACATGATATGAATAAAAAATTTCTAACTATTTGTTTCTTGAAGTAGCATCATATTCTTTACATAAATCTCTAATGCTTTTTTCTTTTCCTTTACGTATAACAAAAAGATAATCACGAAGTTGACTATCAGTTTTATTTCTATTCATTATAGGTAAACCATAACAATCAAGCAACCATTTTTCAAGCGATAGTAACGAAAAAATTACGTTTTGTTCATTTCTATCATTAAGGAAAACTACGGTTAAAAATCCAGCACCACTAATGTTGGTTACGGCACATCCAATATCAACTCTTTTCTCTCTCTCTTTCGATTTATCATTGTTATTTTTATAAGGATGTTTTACCCAAAGCTCGTCATCTATTTCAATAGCCCAAAGTTCTTTATCCACCTTCCTATCAAATGATTTACCTAAATCAAAAACATGATATTAGTCTAAATGAGCGAATTTTAGATGCCAATTATTCATACATACTTTCAACTAAATTGGTCAAATCTTGGATCTTATTTTCGATTCCATCAAACTGTTCTTGAACTTGAGCTTTATTCTTTGTTAACGCCATTTCTACTATTTTTTTCATCATTTTTTCCATGTCCGTAGTTGCAGACTTCCCCATTAAAACTTGAACATTATTCTCATTACCAAGATCATCTCCAAATGTCGGGACTATTCCTTGTCCAACTTCCATTTCCGTATAGTCATCTATCTCAGCCAGAACTCTTTTTAAACCCGCGATATCGTTAATTGGAACGGATATTTTCCACATTCTGAGTTCATCAACGTTGATAGAATTGTTGCGAATAAACGTCTTTTTTTCAAGTATTATCGCATCCCTGATATCTTCAATCGTTCTTTCTTTCTTTATAAACACTGACAGGAAATGCCGTTTCTACTCCCTGAAGAAAACAAAAGAGAGTTACCTTAGACTCGCTCATTTTTTTAATACTGGCACTAGAATTCAATTTTTGTTGAATTTATACATTATTTCCCTGTCGATCTTGGTAAATCTGTTCACACCTTAAGTAGTATCTCCGTAATAAAATGAATCCTATAAGGAATCTCGCTCATCACCACATGAACTATACAAATCTGTGCTAAAGACCGAGATTAGCCCTTTGCCTTCTATGCAACTAACTTAACTTGTTTATATCCACTGAGATATTATCAGGTCGAGCATATGATAGATACTTAACAGAGAAAATAAACGATCGAAAAAATAAAAATGATATACATGATGTTAACCAAATATATCTGACTTCGGTGTCGAGCATTCAAATTAATAAAAATTACGTGCGCGTTATTTTTCGTAACGCTGACTCAAGTGAGACCACTTTTTTTGCCAAGAAATTTGCGAGACCGCCCGGTCCCGGAAAATGAAATTCCAAGAAAAAATAACCTATCGAAATACCACATACCCGGAATGAATTGTTTAATACTCGTTATATCCTCCCCATTGACCTTATACTTGCGGAGAACGTCTTTTAACTCATCCAGAGTTTTATATGATGAGAAGCTACGTATCTTTTGTTCTGTTAACTCTTCGGCGAAATCTGAAAGTAGTTTTGCTGGACCTCCTTTCATACCATAACTGCGAAATTCTTCTTTAGTTGAGTTAAGGAAAACACGACCAGAAATTTTTTCTTTACGTAATATTGCGAATTCTTCATTATCAAGATCTAAGTCCTGCCTCCGTAGATAATCGATAAGTTCCTCCGTTTTATAATTTTTAATAACGTCTACCATCGTGCGAGTATTTCGGAGAAATGACAGGGTCTTGACCTTTCTTCCGTCAAAGTAGAGGATGTAGAAGCTGGTGAGGAAGGTGAAGAAACGCTGGGTGAAGACATGTTACTTTTATATGTGAAAATTTGCAAAAATCTGGTTTATGTGTCCTGCTGAGAAAAGCTAGGTAATGCAAAAGTGAAATTTTTATCGTCTCTGTTTTTAGGATGATCGGTGGTTTATATACATGCGATGGAAGTTACACAAACTGATCAGGAGATAAGGCACACGATGAGACCACTGAAATTACGCCTAACGCGTCGTTGTTTTATTATTACGAAACGAAATACATATCGCTTTTACATGGCGCGAATATAGATGCTACGCTGGGTGTAAAGTATCTTTAAAAATTCTAATTATTCTGTGGGAGGGTATACAAGGATGTGAATGGTGCAATCATTAAACTCATAATTATATTTATAATCAGGATCTTCTTCACGTTCATAATCAGAATCGCTATCATTTTTATAAAACCTATCACTAAAATGAAAGGAAATTTTATCCAGTGGGTCCAAACAAACTCCTACTTTATGATTAATATCCAAAGATTTGATTTTTAACTCAAGATCTTGTGGAATGATGATTTTTTTATATAGAACGAATTTGCTTGGATCTATATGATTAAATCGATGCGCCCACCACTTTTTGATCATAGGTTTGAGAGCGTTAACCTGCTTTTCTTTAGAAACCTCTACTGTAATAATATCTTCCAATATGTCGCCAGGAATAATACAGTTAAGAGTAATAATATCGGGATCGGAAGTAGTACCCATTCTGCGTTTCCTAAAAATAAAGATCCATAGTAAGTGAGATTTCACTTGTTACAAATGCACCGGTGAAGAGTCTTTGACTCATAATACATACTTTAACGTGAGATAGTAGAAAGTATTAAAAATTGTGGGAAGGCGTGTGGGGTATGAAGCATCCTAAGAAAAAAATCTTTTCAAAACCTGCTTATTTATATTTCCCTCAACCTCGATCTCGAACTCACTAGAATAATTTAAACTTTATCAACCGAATCTCCCATTCTTAGTATAGCAAGCATGATCTCTAGCATAAACAGGTACAAAATGTCCAAACCTGTTATGATTCTAACTCCATAGAAAGTCTTGTTATACACAATCAACGCCAATACACAGAATATTAAGTCATAGACGTAGGAATGAAACCCCTTTAGCTCGACGATCGCAACGAAATCGATTAACACAGCGACGATCCGGAATTGCGGTGGTTCTAAAGTTCCATAACTGGCATTTTCTGATAACAGTAGTGATAGGAATCAACGGGCTCTTTACCCTTATTGCCTTTTCGAGCTTCGTTTTCGCATGTCCTTATCGTAAAAGCATATATTCTATAAAAGTATTTTCCCAGCCTATATAAAATGAAAAAATAAACGATTATCGCATATTTCACGAACTTCTACGTCGATCTCACCCGTAATGCGATTGGCTGATAATTTAATTATTCCGCAGGTCTCGGAAATCGAATTATTCCGAAATATTTAAGCCAATAAACTCGGATGATTTATCTCTAAGTACTCTAGTAATTCGGGGTAATCGAACACCCCTACCACATTATCTTTATGTATATTCTTAACCATTACAAAGTTATTCTGAGGATCGTATATATGTTCATATTTATTTGGGTTAAGTAGATTGATATACTGAGTCGGATTAGTGGTGAATTTTGAATTAATGTTTGGGTTGAACGTTTTAATAATGTTCCATCATATGGTGGGTTGCTGGTAAAAGATCGTTTTAGATCTATTTATTCTCAAGTCAATGATATTTTCTGTTCGATTAATTCATTAAACTCCCTATACTGTATAATAACTTTTCAGAAGACTTGGTGATCTTATAGATGATTATATACACTTTTTAAGAGATATTCAAGATAAAATAAATAGTACACCTGATTTTATTTGCTGGGAGATAGACTTTTATGATAGCGAAGATGAAGAGGGCAAACCTATTGAGTCAAACTAATAATATAAAAAAAATTCCGGGCGATTGATCTATATATAATTTATTTTTTTATTCTTCGGGAATTTCGCAATCACCAAATAAATATGTTGTTTCCATATCTTGAGCTATCCACAATTTTGAATCAAATGGGTTAACACTTCTCTTTGTTTGTTTTATTCTATACATTTGATGTCTGTAACTTCGGAGGAATTGTGCGGTTCGTGGTTGATCCTCTTTTCCCTCTAAAACACAGTCTTCGAATATTTTATGTGTGAGCTCTCTCTTGATAAGTGCTTTTTTAAGACCCTTTGCTTTTATCATATTTTTTCGTGAATTTTCACAGACAACACTATAGCATTTTGCACGAACTCCTGCATAGCCAATAGCTCTATCTCCTCCATTTTCATCCTTCCACTTACCTATAACTTTAGTATTTTTTAATACACGCTTACCTTCTTCGTTAATTATCCATTGATCTTCTGGAAGATTCTTTACAACCCAATGGTCTTCAGGGTAATCGCTAAAATCGAATAAATCATAATCATCGATCATGTCTTGATATATATTTTCAGTCTCAATTTCTATAATTAGCGAATCAGTATCGGTATATAAAAGTTTCACCTGATCTCCATATTTCTTTTTAAGGTATCCGTACCAGAAATCATACATATAATATTTAGAAAGATCGAGAATACATGCTCCTACATATTCGGGTTTATTTAACTTTACATTAGTCTGTCTTCGATGTACTGCTACTAGATTAGCCCCATAGAAAATTTTCCGACTAACAAATGCTGGATCAGATATTAATCGACGTAATCGTCGTTCTTCACCTACTTGTCGTACTAAATCAATATTTACTCGCTTTCTAACATCTTCCATAGTTTTCCCGAATACAGAGTTATTCATTAACTTCCAGAAATCTTTTTCGAATGCATTTTTTGCTTTTGCTCGTCGTTGAGTATTCATTGCTATATAGGGTTCCATCCAAGGAGATTGTTCGAAACTTAAAACTCTATATACTTTTTCTAAAACATACCCCTCTCTTACACACTGCTGTAGATTTCTATAATGAATAACGTAATGGTCTTTATCATGTAGAGTTAGTATAAGTTTTTCTGTATCAGGACGTTGTTTTCCTATCCATTCTTTTTGCTTTGATCCATACCAATCATATGGTACATTCATTCGTTCTGGACACATTGGATAGTCTCTAAATTTAGGTTGTAACTCTTTAGGAATTGATAACTTAACCTCCAAACAGCATCCTCTATTCGATTTTTCTTTTAATGATAAAATTTTCTGCACTAATGGAGAACTAGCATCGAGAGGTTTTGTAGATAGCCATTTAAATCCTCCGGTTGGTAAATATTGACTCATTGCCCAACCATATAGATTATTGGCGTCTAAGTAGAGCAACCATTTTTTTGCCTTTTTTCTGTCATACCCTTCTAATCCTGGAATATTAGCCCTAGCTATACGTCGTCTAGCCAAAGACATTCCACCTCTTTTCATGGCTGTAAAGAAATCGTGCATATCCCCTTGATGCTCATTAAATAATTCCAGCTTAACTTTTGTTACTTTCATACAAGCATCCCATGCTAAACCTGGTGCGGTTAAATAATTTGCTGGGTCGAGCTTGAATGCTGAATATGAGGCTTTACGGAATGCCTCGAATGCGTCTGCTAAAATCAATACATCAGTTTTAAGATAGATATCGTGATAGTCTCCAAAAGTCTTGCATTCTGTTTCTCGCCAGACCATATGTGCAAAATCATAATCCTTTTGAGATATTGTATAAATTTTTTCGTGTTCACATTCTTTATTTTCTTCACATTCATTGCAATTACCTGGTTCTTTTTTATGCTTACATTTCTGACATTTATGTTTGCATTTCCCTATCTTCTCTCCATGCTCACATTTTTCTATTCTACAATTATGATCACAGTAATTAAACCCATCTAAATCACTATTAAAATCTTTACGTGGTGGGAGCTGTGTCTCATTAAATTTCGTTTTGCTATTTAACCATTGATATGGAAATATTCCTTTACGTGTAAGCAATGATAATAAATGAGGTGAGATGAATTTCGACATAATTGGAAAACATTTTGCTAGTTGTTCTGGTGTTTTAGTTTGACCCTTCTTTTCATCACGTAAGTTTTCTGCCATCTTAGCTAAACCAGGTAACGAAAATTTTATACTATCAATAAATTGAAGCTGACCAACCGTAAATGTTATATATTGTTCTGAATTATTTGCTATCGGTGAAATCTTTTCTTTAGTGACTTTAGCAATCTCCTGCATAAGATGATGAAAATCATAACCACTGCCGTTACAAAATAGTACAGGAATTTTTATTGTTTCTGGATCGATTCGTAATTTCAGATTGCATTCATTATGTGATGCTCCTCGAAATTTTCCTGTAATATGGTCATGATCTAGTACCCTATTTTTTCCTTCATCTGGCAATTGTGTTTTACAATACATACATTTTTTACACGCGCCATGAACTTTCTTTTGTTCATCATCTAACTTACCTTGAATCATTGGTTTTTTCCCGTGACATTTTCTATGTGAAGCGCCTAAATATTTTTTAGTTTCAGGATCAAATACACGAATTTTATTATAACCAGCTTCATGTAATTTTCCATCACAGTTCCAACACTTATTTGCCATTTGATATTTTCGCCATAATTCAGGTGTCATTTTTTCACATGGAAGTGGATCACATAGCTTATCTAAAATAACATCTAGATCTTCTTGAAGGTTTTCCATTAAGTCTTTTATTATATTTTCCGATTCTCGATTAATTACTGGCTTTTGTGTTGTTCCATCTGAACAATGTATTGTATATCCATATGAAACTGCTTTTTGTTCTGCTATTTTTATAGTATTTCCTTCTTTATCTTTTTCCTCCACTTCGATTTCTTTTCCTTCAAAATCCATATCAATTATATATGGTTTTATTAGCATGTTTTTAATATACTTTGGTTTTACATAATTCTTACCCTCTTCAGGAAGGATTAATCGTTGTGGTGCTTTACTTGGTCCTGGACATGTTGGAATATGCTTTTCTAATAAATCTAGTCGACTATATGGAAATCGTAAGCATTTTCGGCAAAAGTATTTTTTTCCATGATGGTTATTCCACTTACGCATTAATCGAGTAAAATCTGTTATAAGTACGTAATGCGTTTTTAATCCTTCAGGTATATCGTTAGAATTTTTTCGATCATTTAAATTCTCTTCACCTTCTGTTAAATATAATAAATCTATCATATGTTCGACTTGATAATTTCTTTCAGAGATATGTAATGGGTCGATATCTACTTTTATTTTTCCGAACACTTCTTTATACACTGGCCTAAATATATTTATAGCATAGTTTGGGTTATTTTCCTCGAATTTATCAACATCATATAGTGTTGCTGGAAAATTTATATTATTAAAATTAGCAATATTCGCATTTCGTCTAAGCCTTCGGATTTCATTAAGATGTGGTGGCTTTCTATTAGCTTTTATTGCTTCCTCTCTTGTATGATATGCGCTTATACACCATTTAAAACACTCATTATCTTCATTATTTTGAGGATTAATTAATCCTAGTTGAGGTTTATCTAAAGCTTCCGGTAAAGCTAGATAACTACTACCTCGCAATGGTCTGAATGCGCTTATCTCGAGAAATACCTCTTCTGCTCGAACAAAAGACCATCCCGATTCTTGTAATGCTTCACCCTCAATTTGGTCAATAATTTCGTTATATCCTTTTTCTATAGTTGCATTGATTCTATCCTCTCTAATAATTTCTATCGTTTCATGTTTGAATGGAAAGGTTTTATATATAGGTTCTTGAGATCCTGGGGTAATTTTCTTCATGTGTGCATATAACATAATTCTTACCTTTAATCCACCCTTTAAAACCAATTCTTTTTTATATTCATCTGCGATTTTTTCTTCAATCGATTCAAAGAAGCCTAATGGCTCATTTTCTGCGTAATATCCTTTTGGTATAAATGCATAATAATCACATACCTCACCTTCATTAAATTTTTCAGTTTCTGTTATCCTATTAATATAGGAATCATTAATTTTTTCAAAATAGATATCAGCTGTATCATATTCTGAATCATTGGGTTCATTATCTTTATTATCGTCTGATTCCATTAAATCGAACCATTCTTCATCAGTTTTAGGTATTGGTTTTGATCTAATTTTTTTGTTATTTTTTATTTCAGGTTTTGTTAACCATTTTATTAACTTATCTATCGTTAAAATTGGTTTCTTTTTTTCTTCCCTATAAGCTTGAGTGCTAGGACCCGGTCCTGTTTTAGGATCTATTATTATGAGATCATCTGTTAAAAGATCTACCGCCCGCCCACTTTTTGTTCCGATTGGCTGGTGCGTCGACTGGTTTTCGTCAAATGATATGAGATCGCCTTCCGGGGTTGGTGTTG